GGCTTCCTAAGGAGAAAGGCAGGATCCTGTTCAGACACCCGTTTTCTTCTCAGCCCTACACGGCAACACTCTTGTCTTCCTAGCCCTTCATCTCTTCCCCTAGCACGATGGCCAGGTGCAGCCCCAGCCTCCTGCAGCCCCTCACACCATCCTGCCCAGGGGCCTCAGCCCCACCACGGGATATTCTGCCCATGACACTTGTGCAAAGCACCAAGTCTAAATTCAAACACTTTGGAGAGCTTCTCCCAGCCCCCTTTGCTCAGACAAAAGCAGCTATGTGCTGCCAGCCAGGAGCTGGCCAGAAGCAGGTTTCCTGGTGCCACACAGAAAACCAAACACCATTCCAGCAATGCCAGCCCTGGGACCTCCACCAGCTGCCAGAGCCACCTCTGGTTCTACCAACAGGCAGTGACTTGTGAAGGGCTGAGCTGAAACAGTATTTCATGGCTTGAATTGCTTCAGATCCCCAAGGAACAAGTGTCAGGACTTTCAATAGCTATAGTGTTAATAATAAAACAGGGACCTCTCCCAGTATCAGAGCACAAACAGTGCTTATTTCTCTTTCAAAGCTTTGATTCCTAAAACCTTTCTTACATTCAGCTTGACATCAAAACACCCATCTCATTCACTCAGACTGTCACAGGAGAATTGTGTGCTGCTATTAGAAATAGCCCTGAGGTGAATTAAGAACAGCCTGTAATGATGTTCCACTACAGCAACTTTATTCCTACCAAACCAAATAAATGAGCAATATTTTATCTGCTGTGTCTTGGCTCAGCAGAGAGCAGCAGCTGCTCCCCATATGATTTATTGAATGGATGTTTTCTAAATAGCCAAAGTCAGACCCTGAAACCAGTCACAAAATCTCCTTTTCGTAACAGCCCAGCACAGAGACAGGAGAGAAATCCAGACCCTGGATAGCAGCAAGTTTGTGCATCAACCATTTTATTTGCAATTTTTCCACCTATAAGCACAACACACATGCAAGAAGCTGCATCACCAGGTCTATAAATATTGATGCTCAACAGCTGGCAGCAATGATACAGGGCACAACAGCTCCTTGTTATACAAATGCAGAGTCAAGGGAACACAGGGTGCCTCGGGGAGACTGGAGGTTGGGGGTGAGGAAGGGTTGGGGTGGCAAGGAAAGAAGGACCTTGCTGTGTTCTTGGAAGGGGTCCAGGCAGCAGGTCCCAGCCCTGCAGCAGCACCAGGGTGAGATGCTCTCACACACCCAGCACACTGGATCCCCCCTGCACTGCAGCAAGATAAGCAGAGGCACAAATAAAATCATGAAACAAGAAAGCACATCAGCACAGCACCTCCAGCAAACAGGATTGTGGCATAAGCCTCTAAAGCTGGGATTTTGGGCTTGTGGAGAACTGGCAGGAGGAAATGTTTTCACATTGGCCATTCAAACGGGGGACATTCTGCCAAAGGACACTTTGGAAGCCAAAAAGCTAATTAGATTCCAAAGAGGTCTGGACATTTGCACGGGCACAGAGGACACAGGGCAGCAGGGCAGTGACTGCTCACACGTTTCAAGGGTATCACACCTGGGAGGGCTCCAGCTCCTGCTCCCAGAGACCAGGACCAAAGCCGTGGGGCAGGCAGTGTTTGCCACGTGCTGTGAAGTGCTGCTGCCTCCCCCGAAGGGCCCCAGAGCAATCGCTGTCAGCAAGAAGTGCCAGTTCCCAATGGGCAGAGATTATTCCCTCTGGGGATTCTAATTCTTTTAAGGCCAGAGCAAAGGGAAGAGCTGACAAGGGCAGAGCAAAACCCTGACCCAGCAGCAAGTGCCCAGCCCAGCAGAGCTGGGATTCCTGCCCTGAGACACGAAAAATGCCAAATATTTCTAGCCTGAGGAATGCCAAGCACCTGCCTCCACAGCCTGGCTGAGTGTCCATCCCTGACCTGTGGGACAGGGGAGTGTGGGACCTGGACAGCACAGAACAGCCCAGCTCCAGGAATCACCATCTGCAGATCTGATTAAACACGACCAGGCTGGAGGAAAACCCCATTCTTTTGTTGGCTTGTAGGCAGCCAGTTAGCCTGTCTCTGCAGAAACATCAGAGAAGCCTTGAGGAAAAATCGCTTAAAACACTCACAAAATGCTCACAAAGGCTTGTACTGCTGCCAGATCAAGCCCCTCTGTGCAGATTCCCAAACCAGAGAAACCCTGGATCCCAGCAGGGCACACACCACAATATTCCACTCCATGGTCATTTTAAAAAAAAATTTAAATTCTCTGACACTTTGCCCTCCACTAAATATGCACTAAAAGAAATAAATCACCACCTGACCTTGCCACTGAAGTCTGGCTCAAATATTTCCACAAGCAGATTATTGACCAGCAGTACAGAAGCCAAGTTATAAACAGGTTAGTAATTCAATAAACAAAACAGCAAAGCATTTTAAAACAGAGTATACAAAGCTCATTTTACCTGTCCTCCTACAGAAACAGTCAAATATCTATTTATGAGATTATAACTACCTATTTTCTATGCCATTCAACAAAAAGAAGAAAAAGAAGATAAAAAGAGGGCATATTTTAGCTGTAAAGGATTTATTCATTCAATTTACATTTGAATCAATTATCCAGGCAAAGCTCAAACTCTGCCAACATGATTTAGGTGACTGAACACACATCATAAATAGTGCAGCATTCAAGTCATATAATCCGTATCTGCAGCTTCTGGACGCCTTCCTGAGCAGTGCCTCAGAGTGCTGAGCAGCACTGAGCTTGGCTGTGGTTAGGAACAGAGCCTCTGAAATCTCCCATTCAAAGAAAACCCTTAATTGGACATTCAGCTCAGTGGAGCAGGGATAAGCCCTGGGAAGGCTGGGTCAGGCACACCAGCTGGGGCAGCTGAAGAGCCGGGTGGGAGCAGGGCAGGGGCTGACCAGGCTGAGCAGGAATTTTGCCTTCCCACTGGGCAAGCCACAAAGCCACCCTTGCTGAGCATTCCTGGTCAGAAATAAGCCAAGTTTTAAAATAAAGAACTATGCAAAACAAAATGTCTTCACCTGATGATGGCCTTTCTCTCTGCTGCTCAGTGTCAGAGACACATCACCAAGGAACTCATCCTGGACCTCCAGATTTCCCTTCTCCTGCACATCACACATCTCCAGGAGAGCAGCAGACTGAAAAAAACCTCAACTAATTTCACAGCCAAGGAGTGAATCTTCTCCACTGCTAAGTTTTCCTCAAGTAGAACATATCTACTCTGCAAAAGAGTTCAGCCTTGTACCAATGCAAGAAGAGAGACAAAGAATTATGAAGCTATGAATCCCATTAGCATCAAAAAGCAGCTATGAAGACAAGGGGATTTTACAGAGATAAGGTATTTTTTGAAAGAGTACTAGGAGGAGGAAAAATTTCTTTTATGAAGCATGCATTTTTCATAGAGCTGGAATCCACAGCACATTATAAAACTGAATTTGTTGCTGTTGTTTTTACCTTACAGCATTAATCACTAAAGGCTTCCTTCGGTGGGCAGGAAAAATCCATTTTCCATCGTATTAACTTCATACAATTTAGGAAGCTTTTCAAGACCCACACAGAGGCAAAGAGACCCTCTGAGGGGGGGGGTCTGCCCAGGAGCACAGCCAGCCCCCCGGCACTCCAGGAGGGGCACAGCCCCTCACCCACCACAGCTCCCCCTGCCCAGGGCTTGACTCAAAGCCCTGTAGGAGTCAGCATTTCCAGGACAGCTTCCAGTAGTGCAGGGACACGATTCTGGTAAATCCTGCATCCTCACACAAGGGGTGGAGCTCATGGGCAGAGCAGAGGCACAGACAAAAGGGATGGGCACGCGTGACAGAGGGCACAGCTGCCCTTCAGTCCATGTTCTGGCTGCAAAGCACAGGACACGTTTCTGAGGAGGGTGGCAGCCTGTTCATAATTCCT